GACGGTGCCAGCAGCTGAGTCCCCATCCGAGGAACTCTCGGCGGGACCGCTGTAGGTTACATTGAACTCTGGCCCCGCGGGAAGAGTTGCGAGAAATGTAGGAGTGCCAGATTCGACGATCATGAGCTGAAGAATGGTACTAGAGGTCGAGTTCCACCAAGAAGGCTGGAGAGTTGCGTTGTAGCTGCCTGTAGCAAAGTTGACCTTCTCCCATTCATGAATCCGCGGAGTCGCCGACTGAGAGGCATAGAGATAAATGTCGACGGCGGTGGTGTTCATGCATGATGTATCCCAGCTGATCATGAGCGGGCTGCTGGCCGGAAGGACATCTCCTTGCTTGGGGGTTTTGTAGAATCCTCCCGTGGCGCACGCTGAGACGAAATAAGCAGTGGACTGGGCGGACCTGAGCAGCGTGCTTACTGCTATCTCGTTTTGCACGGGCATACGAGGAATGGCCAGGACGCATTTTGACGAGTCCGTTCGCCATTTCTGGCCTCCCGAAACGTGACGGAGAGCTGTAAAGAACGTGAGTCGAAAGAGAGCGGAAGGGGGCGAGGGGGACGGGGGCAACAAGCGCACAGAGGAAGGACGACGACGAGGGCAACCAAGGCCCCAAGGAGCAACGAGAGCGGCTAACAGCGTCCCGTCACGTGCTGCATCGTCTTCACTACATCGAGCCAAACAAGGACGTCCTCGACTTTATTGTACACTTTTGCAGTCACCCCTCATTCTAGCGACCAAGTCTACAGAAAGAAATACATTCGCAACAATCTCAACACGTTCACTTGTCCTCGGCCCCATCAAACACATCCGTGATCGTTGTCGTCTCGATATGTACGGTAGGGCGAACCTAGGTGGGTTTATTAGCCGGATCGCAATACAGCCTCGAGCGGAAAAATACACACCGCGAGCTCCTCCTTGAACGTTGTATAAGGCGGTGACGGATCGTTCGGCGTGAGGGGCGAGTTGACAGGCAAACTCGGCCCCGTGCCATCTTCCGAGTCGTTAACCCCCCGTCCCCTGCGCACCGGCCTATGATTCAATCTGATCACATCGGCTAGTCAGCGGCAGGCGATCTTGGATTTGCGTGCAAAACGCACGTTGCCAAGAGAGCGTTTGCGTAGGCTACGCGGGAAGCATATTAGATATGATTATCGAGTTATGGGAAAACGAGAGACTTGCATTTGCTGAGGCAAAGATGCAGGGAGAAGTAGATCATGTTTCCCGGCATGGTCACGAGCTGGTGTATGGGTTAGGCTCTACAATCGTCAGACCGATCAGAGGGAACCTACGGTGACAATGATGGCAAGCCCCAGCAGGCTACATGCCGTCAGCATCTAGTATCTCACATAGGTATCAGCGAGTAGCGCACCCTGTCAGAAGGCCGCTATTGATGGTCCAGTAGGTGAGCCGATCGAGCAGCTTTGGGAGGGTCAGCTAGTATAGCACAGTCCTGGCGAAAACGCACATTATCGGTCCTGTAAAAAACAAAGCGCGCAACTTAGCAACAGGTTTGCAGAATGGGTGGATGTTACAAACATGCTATTCGCGTTCGAGGCATACAACATCAGCCGCCGTGCTCGTTATTGTTAGGACACTCCCACGTACCGATTGAATCCCAATCGTTTTCGCCTCAAGAAGTATACCAAGGACACAGTGATGATCCAATCCGCCAAGCATGCGGCTCCGAGCCCAGTACCTGCAAGGGCCTGTAGTGGGCTAGTTGAACATGTGGCGCACTAGCACAACACCTCACTTACACCTATCTCATGAGGGAGCTTAGATAGCACTTTGATGATAAGCCTGGAGCATGAGTTCATTAGCCCAAGCCACGCATCTGAGGGAAGCCCTTACAATTTCGCAGTGATGACTACATCACAGGAACATCGTGCGCTTATTTAGAATACGAAGAAGATTTGGCTACAAACACTCACTGCAGCCGCACACTAACGTCTCGTAAGCATTAGGGAGCGTAGAGCCCGTGCAGCTAGCTCACCTAGTCTAACCAAGCTGAGTACAGCCTACAACCAGGTCAGCCCCAGAATCATCAGCTAGTATATTGGAGCGCACTATAGAAATCACCAGGAACCAATTCCGGTTTCCTACTGTGTGAAACATGAGCATTCTTGCCGGAAACATGCGAAGGAAACAGACAGATGTATACGCGTCGGGCAGAGAAACTGACGAAACACTGGTGTTAGCCGGGTAGGGTTTTCCATAGATAATTCAGCGCACCCGTGAGCTAGACATGTTATTACAACCTTTGGCAAGTGAGGCGTCAAAGCGTCGTTCAATAGATCGATACCATACATACCGTGAGCACAACAGTAGCCTGGCGTCGATCGTCATAAGTTGTAGTGATCCGCTCATGCGAGAAACCCTTGGTACTCACATCGAAACTCCTTCAGTGGGGGTTCAGTAAGCAGTGCAGGATGTGTGCTCTCGCACTCACCAGCAGGACATAGACAGAGCCGTTGGGTTATTGTAATTGAGGATGAGATAATAGTAGATCATATGCATCGTAAACATGATGTGACACAAGTCGAGACAGCTTAGACGCGGAACGTAAGCAATAAGATCGACTCTGGCAAGTACACACCCACAAAATGGACCAGACCTTGGGATATGAATGCCCATCAATTCGCGGCTTATGTGAACTGAGTGAGAACACGCACAATATAGCGAATTACTTTGGGGTCATTAGGGTAGGCACGGAACCAAAACAGGGTCTGCATGGTCGTAATGCCGAAGCCGCTGTCGACGTCGTTAACGTCACGGCTGCAGGATGGGAAAGATGGACCCTTACACAGAAGTGACGAGCGTGCCGATGAGCAGCGCCCCTACGCCGATGTTCAAGTTCTCGGACATGATTTACATTCACAGGAGCGCGGGGGTGAGAGGCTCATAAACCAAAGACGACATATGCTGCACTGTTATACCACAGGTATCCGTCCATAAGGCACGCATATCGCAGAGCGCGTAGGACCCGCGTAGGTGGGGCGCGTCCAGCGATAACTGGAGGTGGAGAAAGAGCTTTGAGAATCTGATATAGAGGACCATGTTGGTGCCTCGATAGAACACCGAGAAGAGCCGGCTGATGGCAACTGGCAGTTCATTTGCAGAGGAAGCAGCCAGACGTCGCTCATAGTCGCTGGAGCCCGAGTGCGGTGTGGTCGGACACTGATACAAGAGCTCATGTCGACAGACCAGAAGACAGAATCATGAAATAGCAGGCACAAGCTCACAGGATGGCCCTTGTTGCCAGTTGTCGGCCGCGATGGCATAGAGGTGACAGATTGAAATTGAGAGAGGACAAGGAGAAAATGAGCATGTCCGAGGACTTAAGACTGGCATAAAAAGAACATACACGAGGCGTTGGCCACCAGCAGAAGATACTTGTACTTAGCATTGCTCGTCCCCGCTGCTAAAAGCGGCAGCGAGTTAGAGGTAGCGGTTTTCGTCTGAACATCCATATGCCTAGCGAATGCCCAACAGGCGCATTTTGAACAAGACGATAAGTATAGATCCTGGCAAAACATTCGAATTGACGAATTATAGTGGCTGAGAATCAAGATGGCGTAATGGCAAGGACCTAGCTCCCAATGATGGAGGGCTCGGACTCTAGATATTCCCCTTCGGGAAGAATTGGCCTATAGCGCAAGTTGGCTAGACTTACGTAATAGAAGGGCTATAACAGTTTCTTGCTCGGTAGAGCAAGGCTCTTCCCACCTCAGTAATGCGACACTAAATCCTGCAGGCACGATCAATGTCAGGTGCTCCTCATATGGAATCGAATCCGAAATGTCCACATATAGAAATTAGTACCATATATAGATAGCATTCCCTATATAGCAAGCAGAAACCGTTCCTTCTGCCCGCGTGAGACCACAGACTCATATGTGCACACAGCCAGATTTCCTTGTCCACACGCTCATAACGAGAGCAGATTCCACGACGGCGAAACAGACACGCGCCTGCATCGTGCCGAGAGTCAACAGGAATGCGCCAACCAATGTGCTTACACTCGTTCAGGACAGTGAATGAATGAAACAGCATGTCGTTGGATGAACACCTAAACCATGTAATGGCTGACAATGCGAAGACCTTTCCATTGTGACACTGAGATCAAATGACACACATACAGCACAGCTAAATATGCAGCTAGTAAGCTGTTACACCTTTGGGCCCTCAGCATGCAGTAAGTATGTATAGACTCCAAGATGAGTCCTGCATGACAAGTGGTGGCAGTGTCACATCATATGTGGTACTGACCCTCAGAATCACATGAATATCTTTCAGATAATTATTTGTAGATTCATTCATGGTATGGAAGCCATTCTTATCCCCTGTTCTTGCCTGCCAAATTTGTGTAAACAGCTACAAGTAACTTTGTCAAGCTCTTGATCACATCTTTCTTCATTAGCAAAACCCTGCATCACCATGATGCACTTTCCTTCTCAATCAAGTCTGATGCATGTCCTTGTCAGAGATGAAGCTGAAGAGCAGGATACTAATTAGATGCAAGAGAGCTCAGAGTAAGTAGACTGCACTTGAATACACATAACTTAACTTTAGACAGACAGACAACCCCATCATGGAATCACTGAGCACAGAGAGGTCTCTCCACAGGCATAATTCAGTATCTATTTTGTCACCTTAGAATTGAAATTGGATACATAATATCATGGGATTTGCTGTGCTTTTGCCTAATCCTACCCATAGCTGCAAATATAATTTCACATCAGATTCACAATTCATCATCATTACATAGTACAGAGCTGTTTTGGGGGGATGTGTTGCCTAGATAGGAAACAAACACCTGTAGCTATCGCATTTGCAAAGATCAAATAGTGAAGTCAGTATGCCAACGTTTCTCACAAATATGTATATGCAGCATTAATCTAATGAACATAATGGTCCATTTAAGATACATTTCCAACCAACACGAGCAGTGTCAACCGTGAAACAGTCTCCATATCGCGCGAGGTCTAGCGCCAGTGCCTGGCGCACTTCGGGTGAAACTTGCGGCACACAATCAGCGACTGTCCAAGCAAGGGTTTTGCCAAAGCACGTGGCGCTATTTGAGCGTTCCATATTCCCGGCCGTGATCGTAGTGACTGACAGCCACACCACCAGGCTGCTAATTATTAATTATTGCCATATATACTCTTTCATAAAGCTCCCTCCAGACACCCCAACTCAATCCCTACCATTCAGTACTAGACTGTTAATAGAATGTGTGTGTGCGGTAAACAGATGGACTCAAGAGACAAACTCTTCCGCGACATGAGGTGACGCAGCGCGATCCATGAATCTGGTCGAGCAAGGTTTCAGCCGGCGCAAGACGGCACTTCCCCAAGTATATTGAATCATAACTCAGCACCTCATGTCTAGCCTTGGTCTCGTGCCCAGACGTGTCTTCGACACGTCTGGGGTAGCCTAGCAGAGACCCCCCCCTTCCAGAGGCGCCCGCTGAGTGCCCTATGTAACGGTCACACTGGCCTTCTCGGCCCGTTGTAGTTCTAGAAAAATGAGATTGAATCACCCGACTGCACTCCATTTTGGGTAGCTACGCCTTGAGCGCGTCGCCGCGAGCAGTCAAAAATACGAATGAAAAACTGTTGTTAGTTTAGTACTGTGCATATTAAACTCGCTTTTTCTGTGTTGAGAGGCCCTCCAGATGGCTAACAGAGCCTACATTCAGCAATATGCAAGTGATGGTTTTTCCAGATCCTGTGCCCTCGATGACAGAACCATCCAGACCATGAAACAAGTCTTTGGCGGCATC